CCGCCGCCGCCGCCCGGGCTCTGCGCGGTGCGGACTGGAGTGAGCGCCGCGAGCGGGCGCTGTGCTGGGCCGCCGCCCCCGCCCCCGCCCAGCCGTGCTTCTGCGCGGGTGTCACCGATGAGGCTGAAGTTGGTTTCTTGTTCCCAATTCCTGGTTCCCGGTTCCTTTCTCGCAGCTAACCTAGACCCGCCTCGAGACTCACACTAATGAATTCCACTTCCTAAAGAGAGGGAAAATGCCAACTGGAGGTGCAGACCCGCTGGGTGTTCAGTCTCTATCCTCTTTCGCAGACCCCTCAGACACAGATGAGGCTGAAATTGGTTCTTTATTCCCAGTTCCTTATTCTTGGTTCCTGGTTCCTTTTTCAAAGCTAATCTAGACCCAATAACAACTTGTTATTAATGAATTCCACATCCTAAAGAGAGGGAATTTCATTAGCTATGCATAAGTACTAATTAATATGTAAAATAATATCCCACATCGAGCACAGAGCGGGGGCAAAATACTTCTTGGGCCACCCCAAATTTCATGGCGATGCCACTGGGGGACTGTTCCAAAGAACCCTGACCACAATTCCACCGGGCCCAAAGCACAGTTTGGCCGTTCCAGGGTGCCAGCTAACAGCCCCCATGCCACTATATTAAGTATAATGGCTTGAATAAGAAATTGGCTTTCGGGCTGTGATTATGGCTAGAAATTCTCCTTGGGCCAACCATCAGAATACCTCTGCGCCACCGAGGGACTGTCCTGGACATCTGTGACCAGAGACTTGCCCGGCCCAAAGTGCGTTTTGGCCGTGCCCAGATGCCAGCAGACAGCACCCCAGCCACTCTGCTAAGTGTATGGACCCAAATAAGGAACTGGATTTGGGGCTGGGATTATACCCAGAAACCCGTCTTGGGCCACCCCAGACCCCACCTCTGTGGCACCGGGGGACTGTCCTGGACATCTCTGACCAAAGGCTTGCCCGGTCCAAAGTGCGGTTTGGCCGTGCCAGGCTGACAGAGAGACAGCGCCCCAGCCGCTGTGCTAAATACATGGAGCTGAGTAAGGAACTGGATTTTGGGCTGGGATTACACCAAGAAATCCTCCTTGGGCCACCCCAGACCATGTCTCTGTGCCACCAGGGGACACTTCTGGACATCTCTGAATAGAGATTTGCCCAGCCCAAAACACGTTTGGCCGTGCCAGGGTGCCAAAAGAAAGCACCCCAGACACTGCTAGATTAATGAACCTGAATAACAAATTGGATTTTGGGCAGGGTAATTATACCCAGATATCCTTCTTGGGCCACCCCAGACCATAGCTCTGTGCCAGCCCAAAAAACAGTTCCTTATTCGAGCCATTATACTTAGCGCAGTGGCTGGGGGGCTGTCAGATAGCATCCAGGCACGGCCAAACTGCCTTTTGGGCTGGGCAAGTCTCTGGTCAAATATGTCCACGAGAGTCCTCCGGGGATTTCTAGCTGTAAACCTAGCCCAAAAGCCTGTTCCTTATTCGGGGCCATATATTTAGCACAGTGTCCGGGGTACTGTCATTTGGCAGCCTGGCACGGTCATGCACCCTTTTTGGGCTGGGCAAATCTCTGGTCACAGATGTCCAAGAGAGTCCCCTGGTGGCACAGAGAGATGGTCTGGGGTATCCCAAGGAGGATTTCTGGGTATAATCCCATCCCATAATCCAGTTCCTTATTCGGGTCCATATATTTAGCACAGTGGCTGGGGTGCTGTTAGTTGAGACCCTGGCATGGCCAAACCACGTTTTGGGTCAGGCAAGTCTCCGGTCACAGATGTCCAGCAGAGTCCCCTGGTGGCACAGAGATGTGTTCTGGGGTGGCCCAAGAAGGATTTCTGGGTATAATCCCAGCCCAAATTCCATTCGATTATTCATGTCCATTAATTTAGCACAGTGACCAGGGTGCTGTCTTTTGGCACCCTGGCGAGGCTAAACTGTGTTTTGGGTTGGGCAAGTCTCTGGTCAGAGATGTCCAGGGGCGTCCCCTGGTGCCAGAGAGGTGTGGTCTGGGGTGTCCCAAGGAGGATTTCTGGGTGTAATCCCAGCCCATAATCTGGTTCCTTATTCGGTTCCATATATTTACTACAGTGGCTTGGGTCCTGTCTGTTGGCAACCTGGCATGGCCAAACTGTGTTTTGGGCTGGGCAAATCTCTGGTCAGAGATGTCCAGAAGCGTCCCCTGGTGGCACAGAGACATGGTCTGGGGTGGCCCAAGAAGGATTTCTTGGTATAATCCCAGTCCAAAATCCAGTTCCTTATTTGGGTCCATACATTTAGCAGAGTGGCTGGGGTGCTGTCTGTTGGCAGCCCGACATGGCCAAACCGCCCTTTGGACCGGGCAAGTCTCTGGTCACAGATGTCCAGGACAGTCCTCCGGTGGCACAGAGGTATTCTGATGGGTGGCCCAAGCACAATGTCTAGCCATAATCCCAGCCTGAAAGCCAGTTCCTTATTCAAGCCATTATACTTAGTACAGTGGACACAGGGCTGCTAGTTGGCAGCCTGGCACGGCCAAACCGTGCTTTGGGCCAGGCAGGACTGTGGTCAGGGATCTTTGGGATAGTCCCCCAGTGGCATCGCCATGAAATTTGGGGTGACCCAAGAAGTATTTTGCCCCATAATCCCATCCTAATCTGACGTTCATTTAGGGCTCTGTACTTGATGTGGAATATTATTTTACATATTAATTAGTACAGATGCATAACTAATGAAATTCTCTCTCTTTAGGATGTGGAATTCATTAATAACAAGTTTTTATTGGGTCTAGATTAGCTTTGAAAAAGGAACCAGGAACCAAGAATAAGGAATAAGGAACTGGGAATAAAGAACCAATTTCAGCCTCATCTGTGTCTGAGGGGTCTGCGAAAGAGGATAGGGACTGAACACCCAGCGGGTCTGCACCTCCAGTTGGCTTTTTTTTTGACCGGTCCATCAATGAGAAAAAAACTCTGCCCTAGGATCCGGGTCCATACATGGCATTTACAGGTCCATGAATGAGAAAAACCACTGCCCTAGGATCATGCCGAGAGCAAAGCAGTTGGCTCTGGGTGGGCAGCACTTTTTCTGCGCAGGCAGAAGCGATCTGCCTTGAACTGGGGACTCCATAGGGGCTGGCGGACCTGTCAGGAACAACGTCCATGTTTCTGTGTTTTTGCTGAAAAGGGAGTAAAATTCTCCGTGGTTTTTGTTATGCTATGATGGGTTCTTTCCCCGGAGGCAGTGATTCTCCAGAGTGCCTGAAGACCTTTCAGTGGTGCCTGCCACACAGTGTTAGGTAGCACTGTTAGGTGTGCAAACATGATCCACCCAGAGATTTAAAAAAAAAAAAAACACACCCAGAGTTGTGGTCTTTCTGAGTTCTTTGCCACAGAAAAACTGCTCTAGGGTTTTTCTGTAGGCAAAACTAAGATTAGCATTTTTCAAAGGGTGCCTCGAGTGTCTCAACACCTACAGAGGTTGAAAGCCACTTCCCCAAGGTAGCTGCTGAGGTGCTCTAGGAAACAAATCAAAAATCTTATTGAGGCCAATGGAAGGAGCCTGAGTTCATCCATACAAAGGCTGATCAGAGTGGAGAATAAACACAGTCAATAACATACTAGTACCTAGTGCCCATGATAGCCACTTAAAATGCCTTTATTTCAACAGACCCTAGGAGTACATGAATTAACAAAATAGTTGATATTTAAATTGATGTAAATGTGAAATTTGCAGGCATCTTTACTGAATTTACATTGCTGATAGCCTGTTGGTCTTCTTTACTGAAATGTAAAGATCTTTAAGTGCCAAGTAATTTAAATTATAAATACTTTTAGCATTCCAACTGTGGAAGAAGAGAAAGACTATTCCTTGAAAATGCATATTACCCACTATTTGCACTGATGCTAATGGCTATTAAGTGCTCAGATCAGGTGGAAGTTGTTTGGTACAGAATTTAATTACTGCAATGGAGACTACTCCTTATTTACCAAATAAGTCATCCACAACATTGCTAAAGGTAGGGTGTGTACGTGGCTACTGCACACAGCCCCTGCACCCAGATAACTGCATGTAATAAAAGCATATCAAAGCCTAAAGTCCATTCTCAGTGTACAGGGTTGTAAACTTGAAAGCTTTTCGGAAGATTAAATGCTTTTATTTTCTTGAAGGTTATGGAGCAGCAGAGCTCTCTCAGCTTCTGTTGCAGTCTCAAAGCTATATTAATTTGGGGTACACCAGTCCTTCCTGTGGATGGCTATGCTTGGTGATTAACACTCCATCTCCAGTCCTGCCTATGTGGTAGCATGAAGAAAGCCACTGAGGATCTGGGCACTGTGGCACATGTGTTACCAAGAGCATGAGCTGCGAAATCCACCCTGCCCTTAACACAGGGCAACCACACTAGCCCCACTGTAGCACCCAGAGGGCTAGGTGTGAATTGCCTCTAATTGAAGATTTACATGCAATTTGTGTATTTGGGACTAGAGTCCAGTTCTGCCTGTGATGTAATTACAGGTGTCATTCCCAGTGGAACAGAGGGCAGGACTCTGGCTCCTACACTGGTCCCTATTATATAGACCAAAACCTATAAATACTTGATGAGTCAACTTTTTGCCCTATGTCTGCACTTAATATTGATTAGAAAACAGGGAATACGTTTTGGGAAGTCTGCCTGGTGTGCTAATTCCAGTAGTACTAAGATTATTCACATTACTTTGTACTTTTATAGAATTTGTTTCTTGTTTGAA